AAATGTTTACATAACATCCAGATGAGTTCGTTAAAATATTTTGCATACATTTTTCAGTACAAATTGCTAAAGTATAAATTATTGGTGGCATTAGCATGACATATTTTGACTTTGGCTAATAATTATGTCATTCTAATCAATTTATCAGGACATTTTATGTTGCGATTGTTATTTCCAAGGGAATAAATACAAATTAATACAGTATTTCCATGACTATTTTTAGTTGTATTAGTAATTTAAATGCATTACAAGAAATTGTGTAAATCATGGACATTAGATATAAAGGACAAGAGAGTCCGTCTAATTGTTGACATTGCTCACAGATTTAGGAGAAGTTAAGCCATCTGCAGCCAGGGGGCAGCAGGATCAACATCGTCCGATCGAAGAAAAGGTGCCTCAAAAAGAGGTAATTCTTTACTTAAACTGTAATAATAGGATAACAAAAGTGGTAAATGTAATAAAAAATCCTGATATTCTACAAACATCAAGATTAGCGAGCAGGTGTCAGCCAGTAATAGAAAGGATCAAGTGGTTATCAAATGAATAAAATATAGGATGATTTTAAAGATAGAGTTTAATTCATTTAATCCAACATAGAACAAATTTTTCAAATAAAAAATAATGGGAAAGACATGTAATTCTAGTACTATTAAATAGATTCCAACAAAATTATTATTAAAAATATTTTGAATTAATTACATTATAGTGTAGTAATCATGGTCTTTTTGTTTTCACAAATAATTTACACAATAATGCAACGTTCTGTAAAAATAGTGGTGATTTAGATGTCACACAGTTACTACCTTATTTTGGTGTTTGAAATGGTACGTATTTACAGTACTGTTAAATTAATTGATATATTATTAGTATACAGTGTCACAAAAATGCTACCATAATATTGCGTTTGTATGCCAACCATATTTCTGTTGTTCAAAGAACTTCAGAAACATTACACCTACAGGAAAAATTTGATGAACATTCTGGAGGGCCTAGGCTATCCAGAATGCTACAGTCGAAGATATGTTAAATATTGAACAATGCTAGATGTGTCATACTGAAGTGCGGACTATTTGACGTAAGAATGAACTTTATCCATATCATATGCACCAAATTTGAGCACATCAAGACAATCCTACAGTTTTGTGAATAGCTGTTACAAAAAACTGTGCATGATACACATTTTACTAAATTTGAACAGATGAGACAACATTTACTCACATGAAGTAAATGGCTACAGTATTTACTTTAAATGTTTAGGCTGTAATAATTAGGAGTATACGGTGCTATTTCTTTAAAGCCTGACATAGGCCAACTTTTTTATTTGAAGTAATAGACTAGTACGTCCAAATGCAAAGTTGTAGGAAATAACTTGATCAAGAAAAATTTACAAATAATTATTTCAGGTGTTGCCAGATTTCTGCAGCAGCTACTAAAATGATATTTTTTTAAATGGCAACACCATATTTCTTTAACATAATTTGACAAACCTTCAAATTCTAAATAAAAAATGTTATGTCACATTTCTTTATTGGAGTAGCTATTTTAGAACAATCAGCAAAAACAATGAAAATAATCTGTAGTCGGCAGGAACTAAAAGAAGCTAACAGCAATAGTAGGTCTTGGAAATTAAAAAAAATTGTGTTGTTTTAAAGAAGCCATCATTATTGTACTGTCATTGTGTTATTTGACAAATGTTGTATTTGAATGTGTATAAAAAATAAGATAAATCAGTTATTTTCACAAGAGAAAGTTGAATTAATTTTTCTTCATGTTGGTGGCTTAAGTTTACGCAATGCGTACACTGGATTCCATGCAAGACATCCTGATAAGCCTTAACCAAATCTGGAGTTTTTAAGAAATAACTTAGTAAAACTAAAAACAACTGGTAGTGTGTGCCCAAGGATCTGCAAAAGGCTGAAAATGATCTTAACTTAATTAAAACATTATTTTTATACACATTCAAATACAGCTATATAGCTTTCAAATAACACGACAGCACAATAATGATGGCTCCTTTTAAACAACACAATTTTTGTTTAATATCCAAGGCCTACTATTGCTATGTTAGCTTCTTTTAGTTCGTGCCAACTGCAGGTTACTTTTGTTGTTTTTGCTGATTGCTCTAAAACTGCTACTCCAATAAAGAAATGTGACAGAACATTTTTTATTTAGATTTGAAGGTTTGTCAAAGTATTATTATAATAATAATAATAATAATAATAATAATAATCTTTATTTGAAATGGGAAACATCCTAATATACAAAAATTTTTGTTGTCAACAATTTTGACTCCATGCAACTTTTTATAATGCAATAAAATTAAACTAAATAAGCTACATTGAAAACTAGTTAAACATTATACCGGAGAACAGTGTGAAAACAAACTTACATCATTACAACAAAGTCCTCCGCCGCGTCTGTCTGTCTGTCTGTTTGCGATAAACTCAAAAACTACTGCACCAATTTTCATGCTGTTTTCACTAGTGGATAGGGTGGTTCTCGAGGAAGGTTTTAGTATATAATTTGTTAAGTTTTTGTATACATTAACGATATTTGTTGGAGGTGTTGGAAAAAAATAAGCCGTCTGGGAGCTTTCAATGAAAACGCTGCCTAAACACTTTGAGATATAATAAAATAATGTATGGTGGAATTGTTTATCTTATATAGCTCTACAGAAAAGAACGCGATGGCATATGTCTATATCTTAAAGATAACATACTATATCCATTTTAATACTTTAAAAAATGGGCAATTATAAAGCGGTAACTGGAAAGCTATTTACACAAATACGGTATTAATCCTTATCATTTTAAATAAGTTACAGGCTTCAAGCATTCCATGCACATTATTTTACTCTTTTACACCATATAATTTAAATGAATATCTTAGGAGTAATCGCAAAAAAAATTACGGATGCGAGAATAAAATTCAAGCGCCTCGCTTCGCTTGATGCAATCGCCGACCCTCCCCCCCGCACCGTCTTGCCTACTGTTTAACTAATAAGCCGAACGATAACGCGCGCGTGATCCTTTAATAAACTGACTTGGAGCGAATGGAGGTGACGACTGACGACTGTGTTTTCTTTCTGGGTGTTGTTGAAAAGTTATAATTGCGTTCGACATTTTAAGGTAACATTTTTGTTTTGTATTTGTTGTCTTTAGGTAGTCGGAACATACATAGATACTTGCAAACATACTTTTATTTCATTGAGTTTTAATAATTTGTTTGTTTTTTTCTTATTGTGAATCATTTAAAACTTCATAGTCGCATTTTTGTTTCGTATTTGTTTTCTTTAAGTAGATACCAAACTACTTACTTATTAATTAAAATTGATAGTCCTGAACATAGGTACTTTAATTTAATTCGTTTTGTTTTCACATTGTTGGTAATTACCTATATTGTTTTAAATTTAAAGGTTTTGCATTTTTAGTTTTGAGTTTGTTTGTTGTCTTTAGGTATATAGATATATCGTGAATTATTTTAAAATTAATATTAGGGTCACATTAAATGAAAGATGATTGATTTTTTGTTTGTCACAATTTAACTTAAAAACTAAACCAATTTTACCGAAAGCTACATCTCCTCGGAGTAACATAGGCTATTTTATATTTGCCCGTGCGAAGCCGGGGCGGGTTGCTAGTTACTAATAAATCGACTTATCATACTCTAACATTTTCTTTTTAAATTCCCTCAATGCCACAACATTCATGATATCATTTTTCAATCTGTTGTACTGATCAAGACCTTTATATAACAACGTATTTCTGGTCTGACTTAAGGCATGCCTTGGTATATACAAATTATTATTAAATCTTGTATTATACTGATGAAGCTCATTCGCATAAACTATATACCTCTGAAGGTAATGAGGGACCAAGTCATTAATTATTTTAAAAACATATATCATAGCCATAAACAGCAATCTATTCCTAACACAGATCCACTGCAGAGATGACAACATAAGTCGTATAGGGGTATGTCTGCTACATCTGATAATAATTTTCATTCCTCTGTTTTGTAATTTTTGTAGAGCTCCAATTTTAAAGACCGTATGGCAACACTGTATGTTAAAAAAATACGGTGTTGCCATTTAAAAAAATCGTTTTAGTAGCTACTGCAGAAATCTGGCAACACCGCAAAGAATTATTTGTAAATTTTTCTTAGTCAAGTTATTTCCTACAACTTTGCATTTGGAAGTACTAGTCTATGACTTCAAATAAAAAAGTTGGCCTATGTCAGGTTTTTAAAAAATAGCACTATATAATACTGGCTCATTTATACTACTAGACTGGCTTAAAGTATTTACATTTTTTGTAATATAACTTGCCTAAACTACTTGAGGCTGTGCCCATAAATGTATGACAATCCACGTGCTTTTTACCATAATGCTCTACATCATTTTAGATATGAAGCTCCGTATTCCCTAAATAAGACAGAAGTGAATAGAGTGGGTGTAAATCCATAAATATTTTGGGAAAAATGATATTGTTAACAGCATGCACCGAGTCGTGAATAAGGCAAGCGATAGTTTATGTGAATGAAAACAATGGTGACAACTTCGCACATCTTCTTTAGGCAGATCCATACTTATCGAAATTAAAAGTAAAAATTTTTGATTTTCATTATTTTTGATTTTCAAAAATAATGTAATTTGAAAAGTGTTCTTAATTTCTTCAGTTCTATATCGTGTTAAAAATTAAAACTCCAACTTAAAAATCACCCCATATATTCTGCTATTTTATGATGACTTTTTTCTGTTTGTACTTTCCAATGCCAAGATAATTTCTTGTAATATGTAATATGTATGTTTATTAATTTTTTTTTTTTTTTTGTAAATTTGAACCTCAATATGGTTTGTCAATTTATATTACATGAATGACATTAAAAAATATATGTTATGCATTTTAAAATGAAATTTCAAAAAGTTTTGCTTTATGGTGCTGTTTTCATGTCACCACCGTTACTGTATAGTCTTTTTCAAAGTAGTATTTGAATTGTAGGAAAGACAAAGGCTGATAAAAATCGACAGAGGGTGGAAGAAGCATTTTTAAAATCAACACATCAGGCTAGGGCTGAAGCTGCTGCAGCTAGACGTGAAGAAAAGAGACGTCAGGAGAAGGAAAAAGTAATGGCTGATGAAGATCCAGAACGGCAAAGACGATGGGAATTGAAAGAAGAAAAACGTCAAGCCAAAAAACGTGCTCCAAAAATGAAACAACTGAAAGTGAAGGCATTGTAATCTGTAATTATGTTTTGAATCATTAGAATTTTACATCTTAAAAAAATTCATTTCACTACAAAATGTAATTATTTGGAGTCAGTTTATGAATCTTTCGTTAATAAAAGAATTTGCAAATATTAAATATAAGAATATGTATTTAAGATATCTGTAACTTTGTCAAAAAATTGAAAGTAAATATGAATATATCATGTTTTGCAATCCAATTTGTTTTAATAACCATAATGAATAAAGGATAAATTCTACCTAATATAAACCCTACTTAACAACCCTTAAAATGTAATGTGATGTGTAATTGTGATCATGTACAGAGCCTTCATAAATGATTACAAGCCACGTGACCAGTAATTTTGTTTCGAATAGCAGTTTTTTTTTTTAAATTTCGTTAAAATTAAAAAAGATCAAGATTATATTAAAGCACAGTATTGCTTCATCGGTTGTGATTGTGTAATTTTTCACAAGATTCTATTCAATGAATCAGCGATCGCGTTATCTTGGGCATAAGATGTACTGGCCATTGTTCATTGGAAACGAATAATTAGTATTGGTGACGGCAAGGTACGATATTAGGGAAAGTATAGGCCCTAGAACTTCGGGAAAAAATTTTTGATTAATAAATTGACCAAGAGAAATCGCTGGAAATAGTTTTTAAGCTCATAGCTCGGCCACTAGGAGGCGCAATCTATATACCAAAACAAGTGTTGAATTTTTCTCAGAAATGTTTCCTGTTCGGGTACATTAAATAGTACAAATATGGATAGCCGGATTCATTGCGCATAACTTTTGTTACTGACATTTTGTTCTATCTCTCAACAGAAAGGGTGGGGGAACCCTAATGTCTGATCAGAAAAATGCATTTTTTTAAGGATTGGCTCATCAAAAGCCCATAGTGTTATACCTCGTTGGAAAAGTCTTGTCATGCTTTACCTCAACATGGAAACCTATAGATGGCGTTATTTCAAAAAGAATGCCGTTTTATGGATATTTATCAAAAATTTTAAATGCAATGCTATAGTTTTCTTTTCATAAATGAATTCAGCACAATCAATTGATGAATATAGTATAAGTTTGAAATTTCTAACGAAAGTGTTGTTTATTTATTGGTGATATTTATCCAAGTTTAGGTTGTTTCACGTTTTCTTTAAAAAAGTGAAATAGCAGGATAAAACTTTTTATAGGTTAGTTTGAATAGCATAAAAATAATAGCTACATTTTGACGCCAAAAAGGGTTCGATATCTTTTTTTGTTATCAAGTTATTTGCAAATTAGTGAGCAAAAAATAAATAATACTAATGAATTGAGGAATACAACGCTAACGAAAAGACATTTAATTACTAAAACAAAATTCGTTTATAAAAGAACCTACCTAAACCCACGCAAATGAGTGAGTCGATAACAATCTTGAAAATAATAACAAACAGATATTGATATTATGTAGGTAATGAAAGAACAATTAAATTTTAACAAAAGTAAAGATGTTTATAAATGTTCAAAATGCATATCATTCTTTTCAATACAGCAATTAACCTTCGCTGCGTACTTAGGTAAGTTCTTTTATAAATGCATTTTGTTTCGGTAATTAAATGTCTTTTCTTTAGCGCCGTGTTCCTCAATTCATTATCATTATTTATTTTTGCTCACTAAATAATTTTGCGAATAACTTGATAACAAAAAAAGATATCGAACTCTTTTTAGCGTCAAAATGTAGCTATTTTTATGCTCTTCAAACTAACCTATAAAAAGTTTTGTCCTGCTATTTTTAAGAAAACGTGAAACAACCTAAACTTGGATAAGTAGCGCCAATAAATAAACAACACTTTTGTTAAAAATTTAAAACTTATACTATGTTCATCAATTTTTTGTGCTGAATTCATTTATGCAAAGAAAACTATAGCATTGAATTTAAAATATTTAAGAAAAATCCATAAAACGGCATTTTTTTTAAATAACGCCGTCTATGGGTTTCCATATTGAGGTAAACAACATTACGCATTCACCACCAGATAAAACATGAAAAGCCCTTTTCAACGAGGTATAACATTATGGGTTTTTGATGAGCCAATCCTTAAAAAATGCATTTTCCTGATCAGACATTAGGGGCTTCCCCCACCCCTTCTGTCGAGAGGTAGAACAAAATGTCAGTAACAAAAGTTGTGCACAATGAATTTGGCTATCCATATTTGTACTATTTAATATACCTGAATGGGAAACATTTCTGAGAAAAATTCAACTCTATGTTCTGGTATGTAGATTCAGTTCCTAGCGGGCAGCCGACCAGAGCACACGTGTTTTGTGAAAGTGTAGTGAAAGGAGCAAATTCTACCTGCCTTTATTAAGGCTACCTGGAAAGAATCCCTTTCTTTCCTTTTAATCACCGACCTAATCCCCGGCTTAAGCATAGACGCCGTCGGCATCTTTGTTACAGCACCTGTGCCGGGGTTATGCCCAGGTAAGTTTTTACTTATTTATCAGTTATTTGCATTACTTTAGAATACATTTCTTTAAAATTGCGACCCCCGACAAACAATATACCAGACAGACAAATACACCAAAAGACACGTACGCCCCCGTGAGGGGGCATCCCCACACGACTAACACTTACACACCTTCCC